TTACTTGGCACATCAAGTTTGAAATTTTTTTTTTATCCGTAATTTGATTTCGTGGGGGACACTTCATATTTTCTACTATTAAATTAACGCTGTTGTGTGGTGTTTTCAACTTCGTGTAAATAGAGACTTCCAGATTTATTTTTCAGTACACCAAATCAATTAAAATATCATTGATTTCTAAATTCATCCACTCTTCAAATTCTGTTTACAAAAATTCTTTCAAATATATTCGTGGTTATTCCGTTTGAGTACGATAATTCTTTGGTTCGATTGAAAATGTTGATATTGTGCAGTATCGACTTTGGAATGAGCGTTGTATTTTGTGAGATACACTTCAATAATCCCGTTTGCACTTTACAGTTTATTCGTGGTTATTCCGTTAGAGTACAATTATTTTTTGGTTCGACCACGACAATGTTGGTATTGTGCAATATTGACTTTGGAAGGAACATTGTATTTTGAGAGACAGGCGTCCATAATCCTATTTGCACTTTATTGGAGGGCAAAATCTATTTTAATGAGATTTGTTTTGACATACCTCGCTTCATCTACTGCATTTTATTTCCTGTTCATTTTATTTTTTTCTTTCGATTGAAATGGTCGAATTTCCAACAACACGATTATCATTGGAAGGAAATTTATTGAATGTGTGTCATGTATCAACCTGACATGATTCGTTGTGTAACGACATCATTTCGTGCTATGATATTATCTATTTCTAAGGAAAAAAAGTTTGTTTCCATGTTAATTAGTATATATAAGTCAATGTATAATATATATTTTACTTTTCATTTTTCAATATGTATTTAATTTATTAATCATTTGATACTTTTTCGTTTTTCAATATATATTTAATTATTTGAATAATACCATATTTTTCATTTTTTTTAATATGTATTTGATTTATTTGAACCATTCAAACAATATTATCATTAATTATTTTGTCAACTATGATAAATGTACATTTAACACATTCATTATCTTGCTTTTCGTTTTCCAATATATATTTAATTTAATTAACCATATTTAACATATTCATTATCTTTTCTTTTATTTTTAATATGTATTTGGTTTATTTAATCTTTTTAACAATATTATCATAAATTATTTTTTCAGTTATTTTATAATCAATGTACATTTGACGCACCACTTGTTTGGCTAATAAATTAAATTTATTAAAAAAACTTTGGAACAAAAGATAAATATTTTTATAGTTTTCTCCAATTGATTTATTCAATGAATATTAAGATACATATAAGGTAAATGTGGAGACATAATGTGTATCTATAATAAATAATTTCAATTGATATATTCAATGCATATTAAGCGATATGAAGATATGATTGTATTCGTTGGATGTCTAGTTCAGATCAAAAGGTAAATGGAGGGACTATTCTGATTGATTTCCTCAACTATTTAAATTATTTTTACAAATTGATTTTTATTCCATTTAAATTAAAAGTTCATTCGACAAAAATAATTTGTATTAATTATTTTTTATACTCCAACATCTTACAATATTATTTGTAAAGCACCTATAAAACATTTTAGAATAAGGTGCGTTGCACGTTCAACTATTGCACGTTCAACGATGACTTAACGTAATCTAAATGCGGGAACCATAACACAACCTGAACTTATT